CCTCAATGAAACATTCTCATCAAAGTTTAATATATTCTTGATCTACTGTGTCACAGAAGGAATTTTAACAGCATGAAAAAAGCCTCAAAAAGGAAAACTTCAATGTTCCTTAGGATGGAGAGTATTCTTTTTGGACTCGGTCAGAAGTGCTGGTCTGCTGGCTGCAACTGTAGAGAAACAATACTTCCATCTAAGTTACAATTTAAGGGCAAAAATGTGAACTTTATTGGCTTCCAGGCCGAATTTCAGATTGCCTATGTGTCCATTTTAGGCTTCACAGAAAAGAACAGAAAATACTCTGGCAAGTGGATGATCCAAGATTCTTAAGTGTTTAATTTCACATTAATTTCTTCATTAGCAAAACTATATAAAAATGTTCCTACTGATCATCTCTTGTCACTCCAACTTCTGTGCTATTGGGTATTATTCCTTCATTTGTGACAGTGCAGCTATAAACTAGAGCACTGAAATGATCTAAGTTTAAAAGTAACAACACTCTGAAAATATTTTGGTTTTATTTATGTTTGGTGTTTGCTTTTTTTAATACAACTAAATGTGAGATTAATTGAGTTGCTCCACAAGCAATTGCACTAGCAACATTAGTTGCAATGAACTGAAGTGTGGGAGCTGGAATGATTGGTCACTGTGTGTGTGAAGGGAATGGAAACCTCAACAAAGAAAATGTAAATGGTAGCATGCTCGCTGCCTTTGAAAGTAGAGGAGACACTTCCACACACTGTGTTGGATGTCCCTCATGTTACTAATAGAAACAGAAGTGTAGAACCTTCCTGGTCCCTCAGTGTTTATATCTGCATGTGTGTCTCATGTTGAATCTGGGGAATTCTGCAGGCAGGAATCTCAGAGTTGCATAAGCCTAATGAAAGCAAGCAAGCGGATTTATGGCTTTTCTGATCTGGCATTTGTTATGGCAAATGTAATATTAAAATCAGTAATTTGCCCTCCAAAACAGTATCAAAAGGAATTTTACGTTCCCGCAATGACCACATAGAATTTAGAACAGGAGTTATCCATTGGCAAACACATGGTACAATAGGCATCTCCCACCCTCATACTCCTTTTCTTGGCTATTCTTGTCTGGCTATAGGTAATGGTAGGCCACAGGTGAGTTTTAAGATATATCAGTGTATTATTGAAAGACATAGTGGAGCTAGACAGATCCCTTTGTTCCCTGAAAATAAGGCAACTCTCACGTGACATAAAGGCAGCTTTGCTTGACACCCCAGGGGTATGTGTCTGGGTTCTGTTCTGTCCTCTGCCACCAATGCAGTTTGTGATGTGGGGCAAAATTAACCTCCTTCTACCTCTTTTCATGCCTGCAATATGAAAATAACAGTACAGATCTTTCTGGCAAAGAAGATCTTTTGCAGTGTGTTGTGCATCAGATCTTTCATAATACCTCTATGATGTACTTTGCTATTTGCCATACATCTCAATTTATGAATCTTTGCTCTAGTTTAAATAACTCAGACAATGCGTTTGCCTCCATCTTCTGTGAAAGGGAGCAAAAAGTCTTAACAACTTAGAGTATTTACATTTTCTGATTTTTGCATTTTTTAATTTTTAGTTGGATTTCTTACAAGTTTGACATATACAGGTAACTTGGTTTTCCTGGTTTTTATGCCATGCAATGACTATATTTATAAACTATTCTATAATCTTCTCCACTGCAAGGTACAATTTATTTTGAATTTTTATTTTAAGAAATCAAAATATATTTTGAACATTTTTCTCTTTGAGAAACCAATGCCTCCAACCTGAGTTTTTTTTTCCTCTGAGTTTACAAAAATTGAAGTGCCTTTCAATGCGACAAGAAGAATCAATTATGTTTCAATTAAATAACATTCTTCCATATTATTTTTATAATATTTGAGGTATTTTAGGAAAGAAACTGGACCTGTTAATTTCAGTTATCTGCCTTTTGTTAGTCATTGCCTATTTTCATAACCAGAAGAAAAATTATTGAGAGGATTTGGGGCTCACAGAGTCATTAAATAATATAATTTTCATCTTTAATGATATAGTGTTCAAAAAGTGTGAAATTTAAGCAAGGATGGGTGGAGGTCAGATTTCTCTTTAAATCATTAAAATTTAATACAGAAACCTAATATTCAATTAAAAATGTTTGTAGAGAGCAGCCCTTTACTAATATTTTTGTTTGACGCACATGCAGGAGAGAAAACTGCTTTTAAAATAATTCTATCTCTAGAGTTATTTTTCTGTCTTTCTTTTATCTCTTTCCCCTCCATCATATATATTACTTTGCCTAACAATCAATTGATTCACTCTTTCACAGTAGAAATATGGTAGTAGTCTAGAAGAAGACTAGTTAATCAGATATAACTCATCCAGTGGGACACTTTAGTGACAGTAATATGTGTAAAATGGCTGAGTTTATTGTGAATGCAACTGAGTCACAGAAATGTATAGCTCTGACTAGACTACACTGCTATACAAACTTTTAGATTCCTTGAGACAGTGGTGTCTTTTTTAATATTAATGTAGCTTTAATTAAGAAGAAGTCTTTATCATTGATAATAAACCCATCACACATTAAAGTTGATACAGAATCTTTTTTTTAAATATAAGCACTGTACAACAAAATAAAGCAGAACCAACAACTAAATTTAGCTAGCCTATTCCTGAAAGTGTTCCAGCATCATAAATTATGGCTTGATTTAAGAGACTATATATCAAACCCATATAAATATACTTACCTAGCAGCTTCTTTTTAATGCTGAAAGCTGTGTAACAGCTAAAGCTTCCAGGTAATTATTTCTAAGGTAGATTCTAGTTGCGGCAAAACTATTAAATACTAACTGAGTAGCTGCTGTCATAAAATTGCAATCTTTTCTGAAGAAAGTATTTCAGCTTTCAAAAAAAAACTGATACTACTCTTTATATGGGTGATGTTGGAAATACAGATTTAAATAAATGACTTGATTCCTCTCCCAACGTGTTTCCCTTTTAGACAGAAAAAGCTGTAACATTTTTTCATAACCTTTCACAAGTATTGCTTACAGAGTAACCATTCTGAATATTATATATTCGTTTTGACGTTTTCAAAGTCTACAATAAGATAGAGATAATGACATCTATAATTAATCTTTTAAAATGGAGAATCAATTGAATGAAAAAAACACAACTCTGACCCTTCCAACACTATTATTTCATTATTATCAGGCTTCAGACTACATTCCCTTTCTCCCTTTCTCCTTTTCCAAAACTGTGTTTGACTCTATTCATTCTGCGTCACAAATACAATGATTCTGTTTTGTTCTGTATTAGCATGGATGCTGAATTGTCTCAGAAAAATAGGACAAAAGACAGAAATTATACCATTGTTGATAAAACAGAAGCCAAGTTTAACAAATTTGAGAACCTACTAGTATAGGTATAGCATGCAGACTTAAGAATCATAATGCCTAATTAAAGAAGGATGATAGTTCAGAATAATATCTCTCGAAAATACTGATATAAAGAAACAGGAAAGGACATAAAAATATATCTGACTGACTAGGTATTTCAAGAAAAGAAGTTTTAGTTTTAGTGGCATTACACTTGTATTAAAATAATCTACTACCTTTCACATATTTTTTCTACAAAAAACCTATGTTTGAATATTTAAAAATTTCAAAATTAATATTTTTAAATGTCAAAATTTTACATACAACATTAATTAGTCAGGCAGAATTCCCAATTTAGATAGATATATGTATATGCAAAGTAATGAAAATGTTGATAGAAAAGATATCTACTCAATAAATATAAGACAACTGTAAAATAAACAAAAGGACAAAAAGAAACATAATTCCATAAGTTTCATATGTTGATTTCTCCTGCCATTTTAGATGGACTGTTTTATACAGTAATGGATTTCCATAATAAACATACAAAATCAGGTAAGAAAATGTTACTTCACATTTCCAAAGACCAAGAGCTACATTGTCATACAAAAAAACCTAACTAGGCAGACTGTTCTTCTGGGTTGCTGCACATATCAGGGGATTGAAGGCGTAAGACTTCTGGCCTTATACCTTACAATTTACTCCTATTTGCAATAATCACCACGTACAGTCTGTAATGTTTTATTGCTTAATTAGCAACTTGTCAAAAATCTACACTATATAAATGCAATTTCAGGGATTTTTTTTCCCACATAGGCACCTACTTCTTATTGGGACAATGAGCCGAGGAATGACAGGAAGAATGTTGTCTCCACCATGTTCCAGCATGTCATGGATTCCTTGACGAGCAAAAAACTCATATGGAAATGCCATTTCACAAAGCCCATTGAAAAACAAAGGCAGATTGAAATCAAAGTCCAGCTTTTCAATCTCTACCTGAAAACACAAAATAAACAAATAAACACAATTTTAAAATACTAATACAATGTGATCAGCCTGACAGATAATTCATGTCATCTACACAGGTGTGTTTAGTAACTAATAATTCATTTTGTATCACTGCACAATACCATTAAGTCTCAAATATGATTTATGGCCAGATGATAAAGTCCAGAAATTCCACGTGAAATTAGGCATCTATTTCTAATAGGAATCTCGCTGCAATCTTAATATACAAAGTGCACTAACTTTCCTAAGTTATAGACTCTCTGAGGGATTCTGTACTCTATTCTAGTTTTCTTCCCTTTTTCTTCTTCTACCTAGCAGCACTCTGATGTTACATACACTTTGGATAGTCAAAGGGAACCAGAAGTCGTTTGCTTTCAGCCAAATCACTTAGAGATCAATCTATTGCTTTAGGCATCCACTTAAAACTTTAAAACACTGCTTAGCTGTTGGCCTATTTTTCCAGTGAGATTATATTTTGGAATTAGGTAGATGCTTCCTCCTTCACAGCTAAAAAGCTTTGTCACATAGACTAAGATGAAGCTCCAAATAGCCTTTAAAAAAATTATCAGGTTAAACAAACAAATATCCAACCCTTGATTTGGGGCCAGTAATCACATTCACACTTGAATTGTGGAATAAATGTCTGAAATAGAGCAGCCAAGAATTGAACTCGAGGTTTACACTTCTTGAGTAAATCCCATAGTCAGCAAGTAGCAGACATACATTCTCTGTTTGCAGCCATGATTCATTTCCCTCCCTGCTTGACTCTCAGCAGATCTGAATCCTGCTCTTGCGCATCTTAGCCACTGACCTGACTGCTTCAACCTTTCACATTGAAACTGATCCATTCATGATAAACGAAAATTAATTGTAATACATACTTGCTGTGATAATCTCATATTGGCAAACGTAGTGCCAATTACATGCTTACATAGTCTCACACATACTGATTGGTAATCTCTTACAGGAGACAAAAAAGAACAATTGTGTAATACCTATTCGCCTATGTGAATGAAATCAAGCCTGTGTAATGAACCATACAGGAACAAATGAAACCTACATTTCCTGTTTTCACACCACCATATATGATGGGTTCTCTGAAATTCTTGTTCACTAGCTTTTTGTTTCACAAGGAAAAATACCTTTATTAGATGCCTTTAGGGTAAATATCCCAGGACCAATACAGGAGGAAGTTAAATAATAACTGTTCCAAGCAATCACGTATGAAGATCTTTACCAAACAAGAATCAGAAGTTATTCAAATTATTAAACTGATGGGCTTTGTATTTCTTGAGGACATTCAGCATGCTATGGGCAATAAATGTCATCCGGTAAAAGGAGTCTGCTCCCAAAGTCATTGAGAACAGAAGACATTAATATAGCAACTACAAACTTCTGGTGACAAGCCTAAGTCAGAGGCCAAAATGTTCATTACAGTGAGAAACGTGTATCAGGTAAGAAATGGCCAGGCAGTCAAAAAATAATTTATTAAAAAGCAGGACCAGGAGGTACCAATTTTTTTCCCCATTCTCTGTCAACAGGACAATTAGATGCCCTTCAGTATTTTTCTTTTAACTTTTAATTTGTAGTTTATAAGATTATTAGATTGCATTTTTTCTTGCTGAATGTTCTAATTTCAGAAAACCACAAACAAAACCTACAACAGCTACTTTTGTCTGGTGAAAGCTTTAGATGTGAAGGAGAGACAATTAGTAATGCGTGGGCTTTTTAAAAACTATGTGCAGGAGGCTGCTTCACAAGGAAAAACACCTTTATCAGATTGCCTTGAGTTTTTTTAAGAATCTGTTCCTTACATGGGTTTTTGACAACTCTTTCAAAATTACAAACTACTTCCATAGAGAAATATCTTTGATAGATACAATTCCATGTTAGGTTACTGAATCAGGATTTGCAGCTATTTTGTTAAAAACACATATAGTAGAATCTCTCATTTCTTTTCTCCTACTCTTCACTAATATCTCCTCTATCTGTATATATCAGTTATCTTCTCAAAGATGTAATATTTCTGATACTCTGAGCAATTTTTCTCAGCTGTTCTTTGCCCCTGAAATATGCTTTTCTGATTCAGATATAAAGGAAGCGTATGTGTTCAAAAGCTTGTCAATGTTTTTCAGTGACAATAACTGGTCAATAAAAAATATTACCTTTATCTACCAATTCTTACAATTCTATGTCTTGCAGTTACACATATACATAGAAATTATATATTAACTTTAAGATGAATACGATTTCTGGGTTTAAAAACAAATCTGATTTTTACACATGACACAAAAGCTATATTATGAAAAAAATCTCTAGAAAACACAGGTATGACAAGCTGTAGCTCAGAAAGCATTTGTTTATACTCATCAATTCTCAATTAGCTTCAAAGCCATAAGTGGTTGGCAACTGACATGGTTCTGAAAAGGACTCTGATTCCTAACTCATTCCTTGAAGCATCAGCTGTCCATGCATACAGCCAATTTTTACTTAGCATTTTGTGCTCTATAATAACTCCCACAATATGGAAGCCAGAAATATTTTGCCTTACATTCTACAGTGTGAAACCCTTTCCTTCTGTGTTTACTATTTAGCTTCTGAAAGTGGCTATTATACAGCTGTTCAGAGAAAAATGTGATTTTTCTGTTTACGCCCACAAAATTCTTTTGTTTTCACTTCCACCCGCAAAAAAAATGCTGATTAAAGCTCAAATTCTTGGCAAAACTTGTCCACATCTGACAATAATGCTGCAACTATGGATTGTAAAGAAAATCTCACAATAAATATTATCAACTTTTGTACTAGTGATTTGTAAGTTGTGAGAACCCAGCCTCTGAATTTTCAGAAAGTAAGCCAACGAATAAAGATCAATATATTACTATAGAAGACGATCACACAACAAAACCAACTGTATTATAATCAGTAAAACCTTCTGTTTCAGGAAACTTTCATGTTACTTATGTATACTACATATACATATTCTCCTTAGATGAGAAAGAAACAATATACAATATACGATATATGATATACGATATACAATATACAATATACAATATACAATATACAATATACAATATGTATATACAATGCACAAGATGAGAGGAAACTAATGGCAGTATCACAGTTAATTTGTCCAGCAGAAATTCTGTTTCTATGAAGTGGCTCATTGTGAGAGGCAAGACTGCTAAGAGAATGAAAATCCAGATAAGGAGTCGAAGTTGTAAATAGTAAAAATAAGATTTGTGGCTAATCTGCCTGCTAGATTAAGAAAGCAAGCTATTTGAAAGAACTTATGGTATAGAAGTTTGACAATAAGGATGTTATTTGCCTTTCTTAAATAATCATATTTAAAGTAATCTGGTAATCTATAAAACAAACCTGAGATTTAGAAGGTAGTGTTTAAGATACATAAGTAACTTAATTTTCCATCTTATTTCACACAACTGACTACATAATACTGTATGTCATTGATATGATTATCCAAAAATTGTGTTTGATCTCCTAGAAATATTGTATCTAACTTTTTATGTACTCATTTAATGTCTTTATCTAAGGCATTAAAATTAGGTATAGTAAAAGACACTCTGGAATTATTGGTTTGATATGGACAAACAGGAGTTTTTGTAAGAATTGTAAAGATTTTGTAAGGGTACTGTGGTAAAATAATAGCATTTATTAAGATTTGTTTTCCATTCTATACCAGCTATTTCATCTCTATTTCCTAGGTTAATTGAAAGAGAAAAGCAGAAATATTCTTGAATAGCCTCAGTTTTGAACTTCCTTTCTGATTTTTCTTTCAAGATTTCTTTCAATCTTCTTTCAAGGTTTCTTTTATTTCTTCCAACATCCTCTGCCCTCAGCCAAGATGAAACCTGTGCATTCCAGTTTTTGGTTACTTGCTTTTGATATGTTTCTCTCTTGATTCATAATCGGATGTTAGTTTTAATGTTCACTATGGGCCAAGCAATGCTCACTAGTATTTTCTAGGCTTAATTAGATGGAGTTTTTAATATGGTAACTTTGCTTACAGTACTTATGGTTCAAAGCTCAATTCTGCTGTACTTAGTCCTTACAAATTTTCCATCAAGAAACTACTCTTTTAGTCTGCTGTATTTCACCTTTCAACACATGCAGCATAGACTCATACTACAAAGACTGTCTATTGAAAGACTTTTAGTCTAAATTACTACTTGTGCCTATCAAAAAAATGGGAGAAATTCTACCTATATTTTACATTCTAATGAAATTATAAAACACTTACCTTAAAACAAGTGAAAGATTACTGAACTCAAGAAGAAGCAGATAATGGCAGGGGAGAAACTAGATAAACACCCAAATAAATCTTTTAACTCAGTCAAACTGAATCTAGAGCCTTTTAAACATATTCTGTAGATATTTAACTTTCCACAAGAAGTTAAATAACAAAGGAAAATATTTACCTTCCATGGCTAAATTAAAAGAAGTGATAAAAAGAAATATTTTTGAAGTGCTACTGATTATCTGAATTCAGGTCTGGAATATCACTTCATGTGAAAAAAAAAACCCCAGGAATGTTACATAGATAATAACTTTGAATTTACTGCATTCCCTATTACCTCCATGTTAGCTACAAGACTAATGCTGTCAACAATAAAAGTTGAGAAAAGCTAGAGAGAGAGATTTTTCTATTATATTTTATATAGAAAGATATAATTCAATTTTTCATAGTATTTGCTATATCTTGATGTCCTATTGCTCTTTTAAATGAAGTTGGAGCACAGCAACATGTAAATCTGAAAACACTGAAAAAGAGTATGATATGAAAAGGTTCCTAACTATGATGTGCACCTTAAATTAAATGTAGTTCAAAACTCTTTTCTCTTTCTCATTTTGGGGTCTTATAATACAGAATTATTTTCTAGCTATTATTCCTATCTGCACAATGAGGTTCCTTCTACACATAGCTCCAAAATGAAGGAATACAACTCTTTAGCCCTGCAGACTAATTG